TCATTTATTTATAGCAAGTGAGTGGAAGCAAGCCTGCTCCCAGGGTACAGGCTGGGGGGAGCTGTACGATGATAACCGTTCTACTTTGATTTATGATCTCTGCGACAACTTCAACATGACAATACTTAACAATGGAGAAGTAACACGTTTGGCTGGTCCATCCTCGAATGGTAGCAGATTAGACCTCACCTTTTGCTCCAATTCACTATCGTTGGATTGCACTTGGCATGTAATCCAGGATCCGCACGGTAGTGATCATTTGCCGATCAAAATTTCGATTGCCAGTGGGTTCAACTCGTCAGAATCCGTTAACGTCGCGTATGATCTAACCCGTAACATCGATTGGACTAAGTTCCAATCCGCGATAGGCGATACAGTATCGTCAGTGGAAGAGCTTCCGCCGTTGGAGGAATATAATTTCCTCTCTAATCTCATCGTCGACAGCGCACTTCAAGCTCAAACACGACCGGTGCCGCGATCGTCTATTCGTAAGAAAACACCATCGCTCTGGTGGGATCAACAATGCACGGAGGTTTACCGTAAAAAGTCTGACGCGTTTAAACTTTTTCGGAAACGCGGAACACGCGAGCATTTCGACGCATACACATCTCTTGAACGCGAACTCAAGAGCCTCATCAAGGCCAAAAAACGGGGTTACTGGCGGCAGTTTGTAGACGGATTGTCACGCGAAACGTCTATGAATACGCTTTGGAGTACGGCGCGAAGAATGCGTAACCGGTCCACTAACAACGAAAGCGAGGAATGCTCGGATCAATGGATTCTAAAATTCGCGCGAAAAGTGTGTCCGGATTCCGTGCCGTCGCAGTTGACTCCTCGCGAAACCGCGAATTCGGTAGAGGAAATCAGTCAGCCTTTTTCAATGGTCGAACTTTCACTCGCTCTCCTTTCGTGTGGCAATTCTGCCCCGGGATCTGATAGAATCAAGTTCAACTTGCTGAAAAACCTCCCAGACGTCGCTAAGAGGCGCATGTTGAACTTGTACAATCAGTTCTTGGAGCTCAATATTGTTCCCGACGATTGGAGACGAGTAAGGGTGATAGCCATTAAAAAGCCTGATAAACCCGCGTCGGATCACAATTCGTATCGGCCCATCGCGATGCTGTCGTGTATTCGGAAATTGATGGAGAAAATGATCCTTTTTCGCCTCGACAAATGGGTTGAGACGAACCACCTTCTTTCAGATACTCAATTTGGTTTCCGTAGGGGTAAGGGAATGAACGACTGTCTCGCGTTGCTTTCCTCGGAAATTCAGTTAGCTTTTGCTAAGAAAGAGCAAATGGCTTCTGTGTTCTTGGATATCAAGGGGGCTTTTGATTCAGTATCCGTTGAAGTTCTTTCAGAGAAACTCCACATTTGTGGATTGTCTCCATTAATTAATAATTTTTTGTACAATTTGCTGTCAGAAAAACATATGAGCTTTTCTCATGGAAACTCTACAGCTTTTCGATTTAGCTACATGGGTCTCCCCCAAGGCTCATGTTTAAGCCCCCTTTTGTACAATTTCTACGTTAGAGAAATTGACAATTGTCTTAGTGACAATTGCACGTTGAGACAACTTGCAGATGATGGCGTAGTGTCTATCACAGGGCCAAAAGAGGTTGACCTGCAAGGACCCTTACAGGATACCTTGGACAATTTGTCTACTTGGGCTATTCAGCTAGGTATCGAATTCTCCACGGAGAAAACTGAGTTGGTCGTTTTTTCTAGGAAGCATAGCCCAGCACAACCAAAGCTTCAACTTTTGGGTAAACCGATCACTCATTCCATGTCTTTTAAATATCTCGGGGTCTGGTTCGATTCCAAATGCACCTGGAGATCCCACATTGAGTATCTGAGACGAAAATGCCAACTAAGGATCAATTTCCTTCGATCAATTACTGGAACGTGGTGGGGAGCCCATCCACAAGATCTTCTGACGTTGTACCGGACAACGATTTTATCGGTTTTAGAGTACGGTAGTTTTTGCTTCCAGTCGGCAGCTAAAACGCACATCATCAAGCTGGAACGGATCCAGTATCGCTGTCTTCGTATCGCGTTAGGATGCATGCACTCGACTCATACTATGAGTCTCGAAGTGCTGGCGGGCATGTTGCCACTATCCGTCCGTTTTTCAGAGTTATCTCTGAGGCTCCTCACCCGTTGCGAAGTAATGAACCCACTGGTGATCGAAAATTTTGAGAAGCTTCTGGAGCTAAATCCTCAAACATGTTTTATGACTTTGTACTACCTATATTTAACACAGGATGTCAGCCCTTCAAGAAATATTCCCAATCGTGTAATCTTCTCCGATTTCGGCAATACAGTGAATTTTGATTTATCTATGACGCAGGAAATCCGCGGAATTCCAGAGCATCATCGTCCTATGATTGCTCCGTCATTATACGCTGCAAAGTTTGGCCATGTTGATTCTGCAAGAACGTTTTTCACAGATGGATCTCTAATAGAGGAGTCCGCTGGTTTTGGTGTATTTAATGAATTTCATAGCGCCTCTCGAAAACTTGAAGCTCCTTGTTCTGTGTATGTGGCTGAACTGGCAGCAATTCACTACACTTTGGAAACTATTGCTTCACTTCTTCCACACCACTACTTTATTTTTACGGATAGTCTCAGTTCTGTCGAGGCTATCCGTTCCATTAGGCCGGTAAAGCACTTCTCGTATTTTCTCTTGAAAATACGAGAACTGCTTAGTACTTTATCCGTGCGCTCTTTCATCATCACCTTCGCGTGGGTCCCTTCGCATTGCTCAATTTTGGGCAATGAGAAGGCGGATTCACTTGCGAAGGTGGGCGCTATGGAAGGCGACATTTATGATCGACAGATCGCCTATAGTGAATTTTTCTCTATTTATCGTCAGCAGTCGCTCGTTAGCTGGCAACATCAATGGAGTGAAGGGAGCTTGGGACGATGGCTACATTCAATTATCCCTAAGGTGTCGAAGTTTGCATGGTTCAAAGGGTTGGACTTGAGTCGAGACTTCATACGCGTGATGTCTCGTATCATGTCCAATCACTATTGTCTAAACGCTCACTTGTTCCGTGTGGGGTTGGGAGACAGCAATCTCTGTGAATGTGGACAAGGTTACCAGGACGCTGATCACATCCTTTGGTCTTGTGCAGAGTATCGTGGAGTCAGATCACATTTTTATGATTCCCTTCGGGCTCGAGGTAGACAACCTAATGTTCCAGTTCGGGATATTTTGGCTAGACGCGATCTGGAGTTTATGAAACTCATATATGTTTACTTTAAGGATATTAACCTTAGATTGTAAGTTTGATTAACCTGTGTTTAGTTTGTATTTTGTACGTGTGGGTTTTTTTTCAATGTTTGTTTTCAAGATGAATAGAAATAATTTCATGCTTTAGGATTAATTAAATAGTTGTATCGTAAACCACATTTCAAACCTCCTTCTTCCCTTTTCCCATCCAAAAAATTGTAAATCTCCACTAACCTCGAGACAACCGCGAGTACTCGGTCCAGTTCCTTTAACTTTAAAATTAAGACAGTAATAATGTATAACGCAAAGGATTACTCGGCTCTGTAAAGTTTATTCGATTGAGCCTGTACAAATAAAGTAAAGAAATATAATAAAAGAAAGTTTTAAAAATATTTAAACATAATCCATCAACATTGCTTAATAGAGATCAAGGAAACGGGTACTCGAGTGCTATGTACTCAATTTAAACATTTTTGATAATATTTTATATTGGTTGTGAAAAAGTGACTGTAGTGACTATTTCTAGGGAAATAATAACTCTAATTACTTTTTGGCGTAAAAATCATCAGATCAGAAATTACAGAAAAAACGTGTCAAATCGCGATAGAGTGCATATATGCAACTGCAATTATTCTATAATTCAATAATCTGTCCATCCTTGTTGAATCTCTAGCAAACACGATTTGCTTTGAGTTTAAACAGCTCCTCAACAAGTATTGGATAGAAAAGGTGACTGATTTTGGCAAACGATGTTCCTTTTGAACTACCCCGCATACAATTTTCCACCATATACCAATTATCATCCATCTCATCCCATGATGGTTAGAAACCCAAATTGATCAACGAATGCTGATTAATGATCACACCCGTGTAATTTTCCGACATCAGTTTTTATGCTGCCCGCCGAAGCGGAACAGAGGAGAGCCATTCCACCACGAGAGGCGTCACGGTTACTGTCCAACTACAGGCACAGAAGCTTGGCTCGTTTCGGTTACAACACACTCATGTCATGAGAGATTCAATTGAAATGTAGTGTCACAACTAGTACCTACCTAGTAGGTATTTAAATTTTTTTCCTGCGACGAAACCACCAAACATGACTGGTAAATAGTAGGCCGTTGGCCGTTGACAGGGGTAAACGTGAACATGCTTGCGGTAATGTTGTACCCACATTTTTTTTTAAATTTGCAATTGCAGTTGGCCATGATCTGCTGCGGCTGATGCTGTTAAGGGACAGCATCACCGTGACCAGCTGTGCTGCGGTAATTGATGGCGCCTTTGGGATTGGTTATGGAATTACGTAATGTCAGTCGTTGCAAACGAGGAACGCTACTCCTTCCTGAGTGATGTTCGTCAATAATACAAACGCGAGTCAAAATCCAATCAATTGGGACTCTTTACTGAGAATACAAATCCATGTTCATAATAAAAACAAACAAACAACTTTTCCAACGAGTCATTAGCAGGTGCAAAGCTGCCCTCCATCAGCAGCGATGCGAGCCATCACACAATCGAGTGTTCGCGTGACGTTCATCATCGTTTATTGATGCTAGAATGCCCCCCGCTTGTTAATTGAAATGTTACTCGGAAAAGCTAAACAATTATTACATCATAAAGAGCAACCGCCACACCCATCTACGGAGAGCGCTGGGTTAGGACATGAACACTTTCACTACATCCATAAATGCTAAATAGAATTAGCAAATTGTTCATCCTCAAGTTGAGTCACGCGCTTTACAATCTTGATAATCCACTATAATTACAGATGGCAGTCCTGGGGATTTTGACTGTGGCCCTCATGGCTACACTGGTCAGCAGTGCCAGTGTCACCATGGAAAGCACCTACAGCAGCTATCGATTGCCGACGGCCTTCCGTCCGGAGCACTACGGCTTGCAGGTGTTGACCCATCTCGGTGATGATCGAGGTTTCTTGTTCTCCGGGCGAGTTCTAATTCGGGTGAGTGCAGTCTACGTAACCATCAGTTGCTCAGTTCAAAACCGATTAACGATTAACATAATTCGTAGATGCTTTGCGCTGAAGATGCCATGAATATCACTCTGCACTCGAAAAATCTCACTATTGGCGAAAAGGAGGTCAAGCTGTTGGAGGTCTCCGACAGCGGATCCAAGACCATGGACGTGAAGCGAATTCAGTACATTACCGACAACGACTACGTAGTGTTCCATACGAGTGAACCGATGAAGAAGGGCTACCGGTACGACATCACTATTCCATTCGAAGGTCCACTTGAAACGGGCCTGCTTGGATACTACCGCAGCAGTTATCTAGATAAGAAGTCACAGAAAAAGATGTATGTTGATAAACACTAAAACCGACGGTCTCCAGTAATACCATTAATAATTATAAATTTCAGATGGCTAGCGGTAACGCAATTTGAACCAACGTACGCCCGTCAAGCGTTCCCTTGCTTCGACGAACCGGAGATGAAAGCCACGTTCGACATATCCCTCGGTCACCACAAACAATACATCGCCTTAAGCAACATGCCCATGAATCGCTCGGAACCGATGACCTCGGTTGCGGATTGGGTTATGGATCACTTCACAACCTCGGTTCCCATGTCCACCTACCTAGTAGCCTACACGGTTAACGATTTTGAGTACCGTGAATCCATGACCAAGCTGGACGGCGATGTAGTCTTCAAGATCTGGGCCCGCCGGGATGCCATCGATCAGGTGGACTATGCCCGGGACGTCGGACCTCGGGTGACTCGCTACTACGAGGATTACTTTGCCGAAAAGTTCCCACTGCCGAAGATCGATATGATCGCCATTCCAGATTTTTCGGCCGGAGCCATGGAAAACTGGGGATTGATCACCTATCGTGAGACTGCTCTGCTTTACCATCCAAACATTTCGACCGCCAGCAACAAGCATCGAGTGGCGTCGGTTATCGCTCACGAACTCGCCCATCAGTGGTTTGGCAACCTGGTTACTATGAAGTGGTGGACCGATCTATGGCTTAACGAAGGTTTTGCTACGTACGTAGCTAGCTTGGGCGTCGAATATCTGCATCCGGAATGGCATTCGCTGGAAGAGGAATCCATTGGTAACACGCTGGGAATCTTCAAGTTTGATGCACTTACCAGTAGCCATCCGGTTTCCGTAGAAATCGGTCATCCCAATCAAATTTCGCAGATCTTTGATGCCATCTCCTACGAAAAGGGTTCGACCGTAAGTGTTCTGAATCGCTAATAAAATATCACCCAATTGCTAACTCTAATCTTCTACAGGTTATCCGCATGATGCACCTCTTCCTCGGCGAAGAGAATTTCCGCAACGGTGTTCGTCGGTATCTGAAGAAACACAAGTACTCAAACGCCCAACAGGATGACCTCTGGGCTGCCCTGACCGAAGAGGCTAAAATCAACAAAGTTCTCCCCGAAAATGTCGATGTCAAGACCGTAATGGAGTCGTGGACCCTTCAAACTGGCTATCCGGTGATCACAGTGACTCGTAACTACGAATCCGCAACAGCGGAAATCACCCAAGTTCGGTTCCTGTCCGATCGCGAACAACACGCCAACGCCACAGATTATTGCTGGTGGATTCCACTAACCTACGTCACTTCGGAGAATCCGAACTTCGAAGATACCCGTGCCAAGGATTGGATGACGTGTGGAGCCGGTAAACTGCGCAAAGGACCTTCTAAGCTACTCCAGAAGATGCCTTCCGCAGATGAGTGGGTACTGTTCAACGTTCAAATCGCCGGATTGTACAAGATCAAATACGATCAAATGAACTACAAGCTAATAATCAAGCAGCTGAACAGCGAACATTACTCTACAATCAGCTTGGCAAACCGTGCCCAGCTGATCGACGATGCTATGGACCTGGCTTGGACCGGAGAGCAGCAGTATGGAATCGCCTTCGCTATGATCAATTATCTTCGCCAAGAGGCGGAATACATCCCATGGAAATCGGCTCTCTCAAACCTCAACTCAATCAACCGTCTTCTTAAACGGACACCAATCTATGGTGTGTTCCGAAGCTACATCCAGTTCATCATCGAACCCATCTACGAAAAGTTAATGATCTTCAATGACGACCGAACTGTCAGCCAACGGCTGGATGCGACTAAGCAACTGGTTCTGATCGCTGCTTGGGCTTGCAAGTTCGACGTCGGAGATTGTGTTCAGCGATCGGAAGCTTTGTTCGCCCGGTGGATGGCCGTTGAAGATCCGGAACTAACCAACCCGGTTCCAAGGGATTTACGCTCGGTGGTGTACTGCAACGCAATGCGCAACGGAAAGGAACCGGAGTGGAACTTTTTGTGGAATCGCTACCTGATGAGCAACGTCGGTTCGGAGAAGGTTATGATCATTGGAGCCCTGTCCTGCACCCGGGAAGTTTGGCTGGTCGAACGATTCCTGTTGTGGTCGTTGAACAGCACTTCCGGCGTTCGGAAGCAGGATACAACCATTCTGTTTGGTGGCGTAGCCAAGAGCGATGTCGGTTTCCATCTGGCCAAGAACTTCTTCCTGGACAATGTGGCGGAGATCTACGAGTAGTAAGTACTCTAAACCAGCTGAATTTCAATTTGAAAAGGGCATATTTTAACCGTTGGAATTTTTTTAGCTTATCACCTGACACATCCCGCGTGTCACGTTACCTGAAACCGCTGGCCGAGCAGATGTCCTCGCTGAAGGAACTGCAGGAGGTCAAAGACCTGATCGAATCCAAGCGGTCTGTCTTCGAGAAAGCAACCCAAGGTGTCAAACAGGCCCTGGAAACGATCGAAATCAATATGCAGTGGAAATCGACCGGTTACCAGCAGATGACACGGTTCCTACCGCTGTTGAACTACCGATCCGGAAATCTGGATGTGATAGAGCTTCTAGATCAGCAATAAGGGACCTTATACTATGTGTATTTTAATCTCGCTTGACAAAGCTCTCGTTGTTGTTTTTAAACTCGCGTAAAAGCGATCCCGCACGCATTTCGTTGTACTTAGTCATTTGAAATTTGAACAATAAAATTTTACGAAAACTGATTGGTACTAGGTTTGGGAACAATGATGACACAGTAGGGTGCCGAGGCATCTAACCTAGCTTAACAGGTGTAAAGAAGGCAAACACAGGCTGTTTTGCAATTCATTAGGTGGAATTCAGTCAACCGTGACCAATTCTATGTGATGTGTGAGGATGGCGATTTGTTCGTGAGTTTATGTTAGTTTTTGCGTGTGGGTAATTTATCATGGTTCTGAATGAATTAAGTTCTCCATAACCAGCCTTAGATGATGTTGAACAGATATAGAGTTTATAAGGTGTTAAGAATTGACAACGGAAATTGTGGTTAATGATCGGAACATTTGAATAACATGTGTTATAGTTATCATTCTGTCGGTGCAGATTTAATGTATTGAACTGTCTGGTCTGGTGGGTATTAATATCACCCTTCGATTAACTATTAATCAGTGGTATAGAATCAAGGCAAATACAATTCATATTTCTTAGTAAACTAATTGGGTAAACTTCCCATAAAGGTCCCAGTCCCATGTGACTTTTTTGGAAAAATGAGTTATGGTCTGGAATCGATTTTTAACACATGAATTTTCGCGTCGCGTGTACCCTGGCCGTACCCTTAGTGACCATACCTATTCAACGTTTCGTAGTTAGTTTTCGAGAAAATATTCAAGCCGACGTGAATACTTTTTGTAAACAGTGGCTTCAAACGGAAATTTGTCGAAACTTGCCCACGCAAACTAGCTCCAGGGGAAAATTTCACCTTACTAATGCTTTGCTCAGACTAGGGGCTTGGATCATGTTATAAGACTATCTTGATGAAGAGTTTCATGTTGATCTTTTGAATAACACCCTTGTAAATTGTTACAACTCTATTGGCGAATCAAAGCAAAGCCAAAACTGGTCATGCGACACCTAGGTTTAAGATCCACCATTACAAAAATGATGATGTACTAGAAAAAAATGTTATGTAATTTGACAGATATCAAAACGTCATTACCATTTTCATCCACTCGCCATCTGTGAGTCAATCGTCACTTTGATTCTTCAATAGTATGAACAATGCATAACGCACAGAGCGTAAAATTACTGACTGCTTAGGCTGAGTGTGAAAGCACGGCCCCATTCAATTCATTGGTCTATCCTGACAATATAGGTAGCTGCACCGACGGGTTAACCTCGATATTTTTTTTACATCTGGCAGTGGTTTATTTACATGTTTTTTTTAGATTTTTTGGAGAGGAATATTTTTCAAACGAACATAGTCGGATATCATATATTTTAATTCTTTTTATTTAAAACCTCTAATCCACTTGAATCGACTAACAAGCAAAGGTAAACAAACCACCACTTGATGTCTCAAACTGATGAATGCGGATTCATTGCGTTCATTCGTGACGTCAGCGTGCAGCATCCTATGCAAAGCGATAAAGGACGAGGCAATGAAAGAGCCTTCAAAAACATTCAGTCACTCACGAACAGGCGACTCACACCGCTTGCCTTCGCTCACACAGCAGGTAATTGAGGCATTTTTCCATAGAAAATGTACGATCAGTCATTCAAAACAAGAATTGGGTACCATCATCGAAGAATAAACGTGCTGACTGAGTTACTGACTGAGTGCTCGACTGTCAGTGACTCGTTTACTTCCCAATCATTCAGACTCTCACAAGGCAGTAAATGATGAGGCGGATGACTGTTCTTAGTCATATGAAAATGACTCATTGAACCTGACTGTTTTGCGCACCAGAGTTGATAATAGAAGAGTTACGCAGACTGAAACCAAAATCTACCTGTCGAACTGTCAAACCGTCTACCGTATTGTTATCGAAAAAAGAGGAAACTTTCTCAACCCAGGTGAAGTCATCCGAGGTGTAAACAAAAACAAGGGTTGCCAAAATAAAAATAAATGCCTATTGATCGGCATCAGTGTTGCAAGCTTCACTCAGCGTAACTCTTCTATTATCAACTCTGATGTGCACGAGCTATTCGTTTCGATAAGTTGACGATTGATGCTATTGTTTGTGAAAGTACTTACGTCAATATGATGCAAACGCAAAAAATCTGGTTGCCGTTAACTCTGACGAAAAATAAATCATAAATGCTGCTTGTTCGCAACATTTTCTCTTGGCGGGACTCTTATTATAACATCGACTCTGTTCACAACGTGTAAAGATGAAGCTGCGAGTTGAATCAACACAAAAATGATTCCGTTGCACCTCGTTTTCTTAAAAACTGGATCAACAATAGAAAAGGGCCCATCAGCATTTGTAAACAAACCGTTACAAAGCCCTTTACTTACAAAGCGAAGGCCACCCACGCAAACTCACACCATCATCGGATAGGGTAAACTTCCACCTACAATAATGCTATCTCTTTTTTCTCGTCACCGATGGCAGACGCGAAGCGACTGCTGCTAGCGGTTATGGAAGCTTCGGTTGCGTTCGGGTGTAGAGACAAAATCATAAAACTCAATCTACCACAGCTTGGTGAGATTTGCAGCTGGTTAGTTTTGATAGCTTGATCTTCCGAGCTCCGATATCACAGCTTGAAATATCAACCGCATTTGTTGGCTTGTTGATGTTTGCCTGCAAAAATGAAGCGTGATCTTGTTCTTTGGTGATACCTATTTGATTTTTTGATATTTTTTCCAACACTGCAAGCACGGTTCAGAGCAAGCAACAAGTACTTACGTACTTTACAAAAATCTTAGTTTTTTTACTTGTGAAATCGCGAATTGTAGTGCGAAAAGGTACGCTGCAAGGAATCACATTTTAATAGTCCTCTGAATTCCTTTGAAGGCCTCCTTTTAATTTGCTACGGAATTTTTACTCAGAACTTCCTTAGAACATCTTTCAAATTCTATTAATTAATTTTAATTAAAATTCTGTACATTATTTTCAAAAATTTATAATCAGACGTCCCTTACAGTTCTCTTCCAAATTCATTTGAAATCCTGCTTAAAATTCATCCAAAATTCTCCACACTATTCTACTATAATTTTCCGAGGCGATTTTTTTTTTTTTCTTAATACATGCTAAAATCATGCTTTAAATACCCGTAGAATTATTTTTTTTATTCCCTTGGCATGCTCCGAAAATTTTCATCAGAATTATTTTTGGATTCTCCTCGGAACTACCATGCACACTAAGATTTTTTTACAGGAGTCAGTATTTTTTTACTGGGTTTTTGAATTGCTGAAAAAGTCGGTAAAAATTCAAATGACCGTTATCCGTAAGGAATCAATGAAAACGACCAACTTTAATTTCTTTCATTAAATGGGGTTAACAGAACTAAGTATGTACAAGTTCAGAACAAATTTTCTCATTAATGAATTTTCCACAGATTTTTAAACTTTTACCGAACTGTTCCGCAATTCAAAAACTCAGTAAAACCGTACTGACTCGATTAGTGTGTGGAGTTCATCTTATGCTCTGATTTAAATTTTCACAGGTTTCACCACGAATAAGGAGGTTCTTGAAAGCAATCCTTATTTTTTTCTTGAAGATCTTCTCATAACTGCATTTGAATACTCCTCAAAATTCCCTTTATGTGCGTCTGAAAATTCTGTAGAAATTCTCATCGAAATAATTTGTATATAGCCAAAAATGATTGCCCCAGGTAAAAAGCCTACCTAATAAATAAAACCTAACCTAGCAAAAAAAAAAAAAAAAATTCTGCATCTTCAAGATTATGGAAATTTTGCAATAATGTTTACACTGTTTTTTTTTCAATCTATGATAGCGTAATTTAAAAAAAAAAACTTCTATTCAGAATCTTTAAAATTTAAACTAGTTTGGATTCCTTCTCATTCAATGTCCTTAATCTCAATTTCCTCTAACTTTCAGGGTTTTGAAATGTGGTTATGTGGTTAGATTAAACCTAAGATTTTTTTATTATTTTTAGTTCCACGTTCTTGAATATTTATCTGTAGTAGATAAAGTTGTGGAATAGAACTAAGTAGAATCGAATGAGCGTGAAGCGTGGTAGACCGTATGTAAACTGGATCTGATTGGTTCGGGTATTTTGATACAGCTAGAGGTATAAATATGACGGAATTCTTATGACGGACTGTGAAGAGAGCGGACGACCAGCAATGGACTACCAGCAGAAGGGATAGCGGCACTAGCGGACCAACAGAGGGAGCAGCAGATTCGTGGAACCGTGACTGAGGCTGGAAACCTCGGTCCAGTGACGACAATGGCGCAACTCGGTAAGTGAGAATCATCCTCTTTCTTGCGAGGATGCTACTGGCGCTCCCTGAGAAAGTAGATGAAATTCCCTCGAGACAGCAGATGAAATTCCCCCGAGAGGGTAGACGAAATTCCCTTGAGAGGGTAGATGAAATTCCCCCAAAAAGGTAGAAGAAATTCCTCCGAGAAGGTAGAAGAAATGCCTCATTCAATTCAATTGTCGTGACTGAAAGGAGGTTTCCAGCTTCGGTCACGGTTCCACAAATCTGCAGTTTCCTCTCTTGGTCCACTAGTGCCGCTATCCCTTCTGCTGGTGGTCCTTTGCTGGTCGTCCACTCTCTCCACAGTCCGTCAACGAGCTTGGGTACCTCATGTTTATACATCTAGCTGTATCAAAATTCCCGAACCAATCAGATCCCGTTTACATACGGTCTATCACGCTTTACGCTCACTTCATTCTACTCATTTCTATTCCACATTAACTCTATCTACTACATTCTTCCCCTCTCCTACTCTCCTTAATTGAGGATCGGGGGCAATTTATCAACCCTCTTGGGGCATTGTATCAACCCTCTCGGGGAGTTTCACCTACCTCCTCGGGGGAATTTCTTCTACCCTCTCGGAGAAATTTTTTTCTGCCTTTTCGGAGGAATTTCTTCTAACTTGTTGGGAAATTTCATCTTCCCTCTCGGGGGAGTTTCATCTTCCCTCTCAGGGAAATTTCATCTACCCTCTCAGGGGAATTTCATCCACCATCTCGGGGGAATTTCATCTACCCTCTCGAGGGAATTTCATCTACCCTCTCAGGGAGCGCCAGTAGCATCCTCGCAAGAAAG